CACCCAAGCCAACTCCACTTGCTTCATAGTTGGCTGCAACTTGAACCCGTGCCCAGGTTCGACACTTGGCTGAGAAGCACGCACCTGCCTCATCCCCATCCCCTTTCTCTTTCAGTGAGATGGCGTGTCTGTGTGTGTTTGTGTACCGGTGTTCTCTCAGTCACCCATTGACTGATTCATCCTTTCGTACATTCCCTGCATTCCATGACGAAGAACCAGCAGGGGAAGTCTCCTGGAGTTCCTTGCCCTTCTTGTCAACGGTGTGGAATGACGGCCTCTCCTCCTTCCTCCAAATTGTCCCTCTCAACTTCTCCATCTGGGTCCTATCTTGGTGGCCTTCCACTGAAGAACCAACCCCGCTCAGCTTCAGAGCCCAGGGCGGCCTTTTAATAATAATAATAAAGTTGGAAGGCACCTTGGAGGTCATCTAGTCCAACCCCCTGCTCAGGCAGGAAACCCCATACCATTTCAGACAGATGGCTGTCCAGTCTCTTCTTAAAAACTCCCAGTGTTGGAGCATTCACAGCTTCTGGAGGCAGGTTGTTCCACTGGTTAATTGTTCTCACTGTCAGGAAGTTTCTCCTTAGTTCCAGGTTGCTTCTCTCCTTGATGAGTTTCCATCCGTTTAGCTTGACTCCCTCTTCTTTGGGGCAGCCCCTGAGATACTGACACTGTGAGAAGGATCTAGGAAGAGGTTATTTTATTTCCCAAATCCAAATATCCTGGGCTGACGAAGTTATCTTGCAGATTTGTTTCCTCCAGAAACCCTGAATGGGGGAAATCTCTGGAACCTGATAGACCGATGTGAAATATTCCAGCATTACGACTAGCCAGATATTGGGTGTCACGCATGAGTTACGCGCTCTGGGGTGTGTGTGTGTGTGTTGCCTGTTATCACAGTGGATCGATACAGCGGGAGCAAACTTTTCCGTCCTAAATGGAGAGGAAATGAATTCTGGGCAGCTGGGAGGGAGAAATATGAAGTTTTCCCAATGATCTCCTCCCTCCCGCCCCACGCACACTCATGCACACAAAGACAGGATGTCGTGATGGCCTTTGGAAAGTATATTTACTAAGGAATCTGAGTTAATCAAAAAGGAATGCTTGATTTTTGTTTCACAGGAGGGAAAGGCTACGGAGGCAGCTACTCGGGTCCTACCTGGAGCTTCTGCGAAATTAAAGAAAAAAGAAAGAAAAAAAAAACCAACCGAGGAGGAAGTTGTTGTGTCTTTCTTTCATCTCATAAATGAATTTTGGAACAGCACGTAATTGTGAAGTTTACAATTGGAAACGTATCATTCTTAGAAGGAGCCGAGAGGCAGATCTTAACGTGGATGTCATGGTTTGGTTAAAACGTCGTGTTTTGTTTTGTTTTTAAAACTGTGTGGTTTTGTGTATGTGTCACTGAGCATTCTAGCCCTAGAAAGGCGAGATGTACATTAAATGCGTAGGAATGAGACAAACGCACGGCATTTTGGCCCTGTTTTGACCCAAAGGATTCCATTGCTACACACGGCTCACAGTTCCTCCGCCCGTGACCAACCGCTTGGATCAGAAAAAGAAAGATATTTTTTTGCCTCCTGGGAAAATGTTAGCTTTGAGGAGATCTAAACACCGTGCGGTTCAGAAATGATGACTGGTTTAACTTCAGTCCAAGCAAAGCATGTTTACCTCCCAAACAGAGCCGCTCATTTCAACTTCCTTGCTTCTCAGCGGCTTCATCCTGCAGCGCAATTTGATGAATTATACATTACAGCTTCGATCGGAGATGCAATGAGCTGGGAAGGAAAGCAGAGTCGAAAGCACACGGCGTGGGGAGGGTGTGTGTGTGTATGGGGGGGGGAAGGAGGACTCAAGTACAGACAAGAAGGTGAAGCGTTGGGAGAATGCGCAACAACAATGGCGAAACCAAAGGCACGGACAATGTTGCTTCTGTTTTGCTTCTGGGCTGAGAGCGGGCCTCAGANGGGACCTTGGAGGTCATCTAGTCCAACCCCCTGCTCAGGCAGGAAACCCTATACCATTTCGGACAAATGGCTGTCCAGTCTCTTCTTAAAAACTTCCAGTGTTGGAGCATTCACCGCTTCTGGAGGCAGGTTGTTCCACTGGTTAATTGTTCTCACTGTCAGGAAGTTTCTCCTTAGTTCCAGGTTGCTTCTCTCCTTGGTCAGTTTCCATCCGTTTAGCTTGACTCCCTCTTCTTTGGGGCAGCCCCTGAGATACTGACACTGTGAGAAGGATCTAGGAAGAGGTTATTTTATTTCCCAAATCCAAATATCCCGGGCTGACGAAGTTACCTTGCAGATTTGCTTCCTCCAGAAACCCTGAATGGGGGAAATCTCTGGAACCTGATAGACCCATGTGAAATATTCCAGCGTTACGACTAGCCAGATATTGGGTGTCACGCATGAGTTACGCGCTCTGGGGTGTGTGTGTGTGTTGCCTGTTATCACAGTGGATCGATACAGCGGGAGCAAACTTTTCCGTCCTAAATGGAGAGGAAATGAATTCTAGGCAGCTGGGAGGGAGAAATATGAAGTTTTCCCAATGATCTCCTCCCTCCCGCCCCACGCACACTCATGCACACAAAGACAGGATGTCGTGATGGCCTTTGGAAAGTATATTTACTAAGGAATCTGAGTTAATCAAAAAGGAATGCTTGATTTTTGTTTCACAGGAGGGAAAGGCTACGGAGGCAGCTACTCGGGTCCTACCTGGAGCTTCTGCGAAATTAAAGAAAAAAGAAAGAAAGAAAAACCAACCGAGGAGGAAGTTGTTGTGTCTTTCTTTCATCTCATAAATGAATTTTGGAACAGCACGTAATTGTGAAGTTTACAATTGGAAACGTATCATTCTTAGAAGGAGCCGAGAGGCAGATCTTAACGTGGATGTCATGGTTTGGTTAAAACGTCGTGTTTTGTTTTGTTTTTAAAACCGTGTGTGGTTTTGTGTATGTGTCACTGAGCATTCTAGCCCTAGAAAGGCGAGAGATGTACATTAAATGCGTAGGAATGAGACAAACGCACGGCATTTTGGCCCTGTTTTGACCCAAAGGATTTCATTGCTACACACAGCTCACAGTTCCTCCGCCCGTGACCAACCGCTTGGATCAGAAAAAGAAAGATATTTTTTTGCCTCCTGGGAAAATGTTAGCTTTGAGGAGATCTAAACACCGTGCGGTTCAGAAATGATGACTGGTTTAACTTCAGTCCAAGCAAAGCATGTTTACCTCCCAAACAGAGCCGCTCATTTCAACTTCCTTGCTTCTCAGCGGCTTCATCCTGCAGCGCAATTTGATGAATTATACATTACCGCTTCGATCGGGGATGCAATGAGCTGGGAAGGAAAGCAGAGTCGAAAGCACACGGCGTGGGGAGGGTGTGTGTGTGTATGGGGGGGGGAAGGAGGACTCAAGTACAGACAAGAAGGTGAAGCGTTGGGAGAATGCGCAACAACAATGGCGAAACCAAAGGCACGGACAATGTTGCTTCTGTTTTGCTTCTGGGCTGAGAGCGGGCCTCAGACGACAATCCACCACCCTCGCGCGAGGGCAAATGAGGCCAGCGAGGTTTTTTTTATCCTTATTGTGACACCGACCAGAAAGGATTATGGCTATGACTAGATTGGCTTCCTCGATAAGGCTGGATTGAGCAATTAGCAGGCGCACGGGCGCACCGCCAAGGAGATACCAAGAGGGAGGCCCTGCCTTCGGTCTCTGCGGATAAGGAAGTATCGATCAAAAAACAAAAGCCAAGCCAGCCGCCGCCTTCAGGGCCCAGGAGCGCAGACTTTGAACCCGGGGCACATGGATGGAAAATGGGACAGCCAAAGCAGGCTGCGAGCCATCCAACGGAGGAGGGTGCTAAACCCTCAACAGGGGTGCGAGTCTCACGCTGGCATCTGAAGCACCAAATCCAACATGGCAGCCACAGGACGGGAAACTTTTGAACCACGACTGCCCGGTTTGGGAGCAGGGCTGCTCCCGACAGGAAGGCGGTGCTGAGAGTGGTGAGGAGGGCAGAAAAGATGATTGGCAGTTCGCTTCTTTCCACCCAGGATGTGGCCTATAAGCGACGCTTGTGCAAGGCCCTCGGGATTGCCTGGGATGCTACGCATCCTTTCCACAACCTGTTTTCCTTGTTTCCTTCTGGGAAGTGGGGGGGGGGGGGCTTCGTAGTATCCGAAGCAGAACATCCAGATTCAATCACAGGTTTGTTCCACATAGCATCAACCTTGGCAACTCTCAAGCTTCCTCCTTCCGCTGTGTGTTCAAAATGGACAGTGACTGGTGTGTGTGTGTGTGTGAGAGAGGGAGAGGGAGGGGGAGAGAGAGAGAGAGAGAAAGAAAGAGAGAGAGAGAGAGAGAGAGAGAGTGAGAGAGAGAGAGAGAGAGAGAGAGACTTAAGTCAGGGGTGTCTGAGCTTCTCAACTTTTAAGAGTTGTGGGGCCTGGGCTTCCAGAATTCCCCAATCAGCCTTGTTGAAATCCACAACCCTTAAAGTTGCCACGCTTGGACAACCTGGCTTTAAGTGTCGGCCTTTATTGTATACACACAGTTAATGCTGGAGTGAGAGGAGAGCTTGGTCAAGTCTCGAGGGAGAGAAGCATGGCACCCCTTCAGTTTCTCCTGCAGTAAATTGCATTTTAGAAAAAGTGCGCCCACCCTGCTACTAAGACATTGACACGTCAATCTAATGATTCCTGCCTAGACACTATACATCTCCTAGGTGAGTGAAGGAGCAGAGACCTCCCCCCCCCCCCACCCACCCCGGACTTAATTTCTCTACTTGCAAAAGGAACAAAAGCTTTTAAAGATTTCTCTTCGATATATCCGGCACCTTTTTCAGAGTTTTATCCCAAGGCTTGCCAAGGTATGTGCTGAGATAACAATTAATCCCTTTAGAACCCTGGTTTCCCTCGGCAATTGTTTCAAATCTGCCTTTAGTCCCTCTATAATTTACTAACTTTTTAAAGAACTTGAATGAACTTGTTTGCCGCGCGCTGCTCTGTATTATAATTCGCTCCTTCAGTTTTTTCATTGTTTTCGAACACCACAGGAACTGAACTCCTGCAAAATGCCATCATCGACATTCCCCCCCAGCCGAAGTGGTAATATTTTGGTGATTTCCAAAAATAAAGCAGGGCTGGGCCTGGTTCGTAGATGCCGAGAGGAAAATCCCACAGTGGGAAGCTAGAACCAGGAAGTTGAAACTCCTTCTAAGATAAAATACCCTTCAGAACAGCCAAGAATCAGGATTCTTCCTACCACAGCAGGTACGATGCCTCACTGGAGGACAAGATGGCTCTTAAAATCATCAGCCAGGATGGAAACCGAAGAGAGAAAAGAACCCTTTTATTTTGGCCAACGCAAAACCCGAGTTAAACGCCGAAGACGAAGGGGCTTTCAGAAGCTGTGGGTCCTCCAACACTGGAGGGTTTTTTTTTAAAGAAGAGATGGACCATCATTTGTGTGAAACGGTGGTTATAGGGTCTCCTTGTTCTGTTTTCTGATGGCAAGCAAGTAAGAATTCACCAGGTGGAGGATTCCAGGATTCTCTGCCTCCGAATGCATTTTCCAGAGGGGGGGGAGAGAGGAATTCTCTGGAATCTCTCTTAGACCAAACAGAAGTCTTATTACTAGGAGACACCCCAACACATCACATCAGAAGCCCTTCCCGCGTCGCCAGGGTTGGGCCAGATGGCTCTGGTGCCGGGGATTGGCCTCTGTGGTCCCAATAAACGCAAGGAAGAATTCGCCCTCGGTTCCAGAGCCATTTAAGGCGAAGCATTGCAGAGGCAACAGAATATTCCCCCCCCATCCCTTTTCTTCTTTTTTTTTCTTTTTACAGTATCAAGAAATCCAGGCTGCTTCCAGGGACAAGTTACACAAAAGGGGGAAAAGTCTGAAGAGCACCAAGTTGCTGAGTTTGAACCAGGTCACTGGTCAAGTTCAGAGTATCAAAGCCAAAGAAACAAGCTAGGAGGAAAAAAAAAAACATTTTATATAAAGTCATCTTTTCCTCTCTCTCTCTCTCTCTCTCTCTCCTTCTCTCTCTCTCCACTGATTAACCCACTTTCCCAGACTACGTGCCGTCTGCCGCGAGGGCTTAAGACCTTGAAAACAGAGTGAATATTCCAGACGCGGAGACAAAATAAACTAAACCTTGCCGCCCAAACATTTGACACAATTAGACTAAATTGTTGATCATTCCAAAGGGGCTTGGCAACGGGAGAGGGAGCCAAGGAAGAAACAACTTTGAAAAAAAGAGACCGAAGCCAGATGAAGCTTTGTCGTTTGTGGTCTAGGGAGGACCTTTCCCGGTACCTCGCTGGTTAAAAAAAAGAAATTGCAGGGACCCTGAACCATGGTGCAGTTTTTTTGGGGGGGGGGCTAATGTTGAGGGTGCTCACCACAAAACCCATCCAGGAGCTGAGCCAAATCCCGGCTTGTTGGTTTTTTTTTTTTAGCCGCTTCCTTCAGCCTGGAAACACAACAGCCGTTTTCAAAACTTGATGTTTCAGTGAGGAATTTGGGGGGAAAAGACACAAGAGTAGACAAAACAATTTGGAGTCATCCGTCTCTGTCTGGCTGGGGGCATTTAACAGGAAATCCACCTCAAAACATCTCACTGGGATAAGTGGCCTAGTTTGAGACATGGAGAAGGTTTTTTTTGGGGGGGGGGGAAAGTCCTGTCTCCTCCTCCCGTCATTTCGGTTGCCAACTCTGGAAAAGCGGTATTCCACGATGGTCATCCCAACCTCTCTCGCTTCCAAAAGCGCACACGACTTTAAATTAAGCAACATCCAACCATGTTCTCCTATCTCAGCTTTCCTGGTGTGCAAAATGGGGATGGGAAGAACGCAACCCTTACGTCAACTATGGAAAGCAACAGTAACATCTCCTCAGTTCCAGATCCACCAGGATATAGATGTGTGTGTGTGTGTGTGTGTGTGTGTGTGTGTGTTGCTTTTCCTGAAAGCGCTCAAGGTACTGTAGACCATATTCCCCTTATCCTTTGTCGAGGTGGTTGAACGAGAGCGGCTGGCCCCAAGGCAGTCAAGGAAGGTCCGTGGCTTAAGGTGGACCTCAAAGTGAGTCTTCCACAGTCCCAGGCTGGTATCTTATTTATTTCTCTTAATTTATACAGCTGCCCAGCTCACAAGAGAGTGATCGAGTGGCGTACCACAAAACTCTTTAAATTATAAAGCCATGTTTCTGGAACGGTCGTGGAGGGAGGGTGCCACCTCTCTCTCTCTCTCTCTCTCTCTCTCTCTCTCTCTCTCTCTCTCTCTCTCTCTCTCTCTCTCTGCATGTCTTTACAGATGGTCTAGGGCAGAGGTGTCCAACTTGGGCCAACATTTAAGACTTGTGGGCTTCAACTCCCAGAATTCCCCAGCCAGCCACGACTTAACAAGACTGTTGACGTGGCCAAGGTTGGACACCCCTGATGGATGGATCCCTTTCCCATTCCTCTTTTTAAAGACCTCACTTTCTCTGAACAAATAACGGCTAAGAGGGCTCCAACTCCCACATCCATTCATTCTATCGGCTTATTTACTTTATAGGGCAGAGAGTAAACTGTCCCTCCGGCCTCCCCTTCCGGTTCTTCTTCCAGGCAGGCCAAAGCCTCTTTGATCTCCAAGCCAAAAACCAAACCTTGGCTCTACGGCGGGGCGGAGTCGGTATAATTAGGCAGAGGTTTTAAAAAAACACACACACACAAGTCCCACGTTCTTTAGTTCCAAATATGACACATTGAGTGCCTTCCCAGTTGCCCAGCCGTGACCTTTGTAGCCACTGTCAACTTACTAACTCTCTGCTCTCCCTTCCCTGTGTTTATCTCGCTTTACTGATTCGTATCTCGAAAGAGAATTTGTTTGCTTGGCCCTTTTTTTAAAAAAAAAAAAAAAGAACAGCCTACTCCCTAAGGCAATATATAGCTCCTTTCTCCATTCCAGAGAGGCATCTTTCACTGGAAACCAAGAATATATCCAAGAATGTGGAAAGAGCAACGGCTGCCACGCAAAGGTCTCAAGACTCTCAAGCAGAAGGCAAGGTCAGAGTCATCCTCCTGGCTTCGGTGTATTGACACAGCCACTGGCTTCAAAAAGGGGGAACCACGCCGGGAACAGATCCCCTTTTCTGTGGGGCAATGGGTCTCTTTCCCCAGAGTCAGGGGCCTTAGGATGGTGGGCTTGCTTTGCTCCAAGGGAGAGAGAGCCAGCGAGAGCGCCTGTATTTTCTGAAATAGGATGACCAACCGACGGACATACGGGTGGGCAACGTCTACGGAGATTCTCCATCGTGAAAAGCATCCCAAAGGGGCTTTTCCAAAGGCAACCGGGCTGTCTTAGTTTTTCTGGGTTTTTTTTTTCCCTCCTTGAAAACGTTCTTCAGGACTGAAGAAGCTTCTCGGAGGAGAAGCGAACGGTTTTCAAGGGGAAAAAAAAATCAAGAAAGTTCAGGTGTCTTTTGAAAAGCACCTTGGGGAAGGGAGGGCTGTGTTTACGGCTTGAAGCGGCTGGTCTGGTTTAGGGAGGAGGGGGTCTCTGAAAGGAGCCCACCCCCACCCCAAAACCAGTAGCCTGGGATATGGGGACATCAGCTGGGCAGTTTCTAGAAATCCAGAGGCTTCAGATTTAGTCAACCCACGTTAGGATTCAAATCGCTCCCTGATCAGGCAACTTCCTTAAGAGGCTCAAAAAAAAAAAAAAGGAAGGTAATATTCAGGTCAACCGTATCGCAGGAATCAGGCCTCAAACGTTGGAAGCCTGGAATTAGGGAAAGAAAGAGAGAGTTTCCTGCTATAGGAAACTCAGCCAATGCTGCATGAAAAAAAATTAATAATAATAATATCTGGGCTGGACTGAGCTGGATTTTAAATGCCTTGCTTTGTTCCTACTGTCCGCTGCGGTATAGAGGGGAGGAAGGGAGAGCAAGGGAAAGAATTCTTGTTCTGTAATATTTCTGGAAAGCCCAAATGTCCTTAAAGACAATAAAAGGAAAATTTAACTGGCATGGTTCCCCTACGGGCACAGTCTGGGTAAGGAAAGACAGGCCAGCTAAAAGGCTGGTTTTCACTCTGTCGCTTGGTTAGGAGACTGTTTAACAAGATTTTCTGGTGAACACGAGTGAGTATATTTGCAAGCTCAAGTATTTTCGAGAATTGTCCATAATTTGAAACGATGACAAGGGTGTTCTTCTCTCCACCCACCCACCCCGCCTTATAATGCTTACAGTGCCTTGCGGCAAGGAACAGGAGTGCCATTTTGGAGCTAACTTCCTTACTTTGAGTGTCGTTCGGAGGCGCAGTGAGGTCTGGCCACTTAGGCATCTCCTGGTGGTGAGAATTCCCTCCAAAAGTCAGACTAGAAATCCCAGAATCTTCACCAAAACTGGAGAAGGCTAGTCTACCCAAGCCGGAATTGGGAGTCCTCCGTTCCATCCCATCCGTGGGGCAGTGTTTAAAGGCGGCCTTCAGAAGATTCCTTGGGAAGCGGTGCAATCTTTAGACCAATGTTTTTCGACTTTGGAGACCTGAAGATGGGCGGACTTCGACACCCGGGAGTCCACGGTCAGCTGATCCTAGAAAAAAAAAGGCTCTAGGAAACCACCTTCAGAACGCTTTCCAGTAAACAAGCAAGCAGGGAAACGGACCTGTGAAATCAGAGCCCAGTTCGAACGGAAGGAAACTTCCTTTTTACCGAAGAAGTCGCAACGCTTTCAATAAAACACAAGCAACTCCATTCGAACACTCCAGGCCGAAAGGGTGTGTAATAAACAAGGATGGCCCACAATCAGGGGGCAGAACAGCAGCAATTAAGTCAGAAACCAACATTTCCTTGGTTCCTAATTCTTGGCCACTCTTTGACCCTTCCAATTCCTCCCACCTCCCGGCAACGAAGAATGCTGATGGAGGTGCCTTTCGCAAGTTAACATTTAACAGTCATTTCTACTGAATTCCGAGAAATAAAAAAAAATAAACTTTTGTCCTACTTCGCGGCCAACTGAGGCCAGTGAAGG